GCAAAAACTGTAATTTTGTCAAGAAAATTTTTTTCCAGGCTGTTATGAACATAGATTTTTGAAAAAAAATTATACATCTTTATACATCGATAACAAATATCTTTTGATGAACAAAACAGTTTAGTTGATGTTTATTTTAAGGGTTGAAATATTTGAGATTCTATTTCCGTGTATTTTGATCAGAAAACAAAAATAATCGAGATTGATCACTCATCAAATAGTTCTTTTTTTGTTTGAATATTTGAAGAGTAAACTATTTCTCTAATAATGTTGGGATCTTGCTACACAACCAAAACATTTTGAGATCTTCAATTAAAATAAAAGAAAAGAGCCTCATTTGGGAAGAAAAAAATGTTGAAAAAAAGGGAAATAAAAAAATAAAATATTGTAAGTAAATTTTGAAAGAATTTGGATGGTTTAAGTGAGTAAAATCAAAAAGAAAATTTTTTTCTAATCATTTCACCCCAAGCAAGGCAATAAAACCACTAAGACTGAGTGTGAATGAATATGAGAAAAAAAATTCTTATTAAATTTTTTACAAGATTTATATTAAATATTATTATTCACTCATTATTTTTTTTTTGTTATACTTCTAATAATTTTTATTTTTGTTAAAGTATTTCTTCCTTGCTGTAATATTTTTTTTTATTATGCTCTGTTGGTTTTCTTTCTCGAACTATAATAATAAAATTATTCAGGGATATTTCTGTCCAGCATGTGATCCATGAGGATAATGCAGAATAACAGACATTGCCTTTCTCATTGGATATCGTCAATAAAAAAAAAAAAAATAGATCATAGCTGCCAACATTTCTGACACCCCTACCCTGCATTTTCTCCCCCCAAATTAAAAAAAAAAAAATTAAATCACATAATCTAAAGAGAATGGCATTTGTTAAAACTTGGCAAAAGCCTCATGGATTTGATGGCAGGCGGGAGGGGGGGGGATTGGGAACAGAATTGTAAAACAAAATAACATTCAGTCTGGATACATTCTGACTTTGTGGGTATCATAAAAGGGTAGAAAAGGATTAGGGTAAGATATGGCGGTAATTAAGGGTTTAGGCTATAAAAGGAGCCCGGGACAAAAATGATGTGTCCCTATTATAGTCTCTGCAGAAATTAGAGAAAATATTGACAAATCCTTGCATGAAATGTGGAAATTCATTATTTAACAGAAAAAAACAAAAAACAACAAAAATGTGGAGAAAGGAAGAGGAAACATATTTCAAAAAAGAAAGATTGTTCCCACGAAATCTTGTTTTGAATGGATGTAAGGGATAAATTTTAACGGCCACCCTAAGTTAATTCTAAAATTTGACTCACTCTCTTGGGTACAGAATATGAGAATAAAGCAAGTCTAGACAAAGGTTGAAGAACAATATAAAAATGGCTGAGAAGTAAATTGGTCTTTTAGGAGAGGATAATTAATTCCTCAATCAAATTTAAAAGTAGAAGTAGTCTCAAAATTAACAAGGGTGATGGTTGAAATTTATCGAAAATGGTCATTGTGTTTAATGATTGTAGCAAGTGAAAAAAAAAAAAAAAAATCAAAGTAAAGAAAAAAAAAAAGTCATAACACAAAGAAAAAGCTATTTTAGCTTAATAAAACAGTGTAAGCTAATAAAAAAAGCATTTCATAAAAGGAAACACACCACACACTTCTATACTTCAATATATATGAATCAATTAAAATACATACAGAAAAAAAAAAAAATCACTTTTTGTAAACACATAAACAAAATCATGTTTTAGTAGAATTTAATTCAGATGTAATTTATTGAAGATAAAATTTGCATAACTTGACATGTCGTATTAATAAGCTTGTCTCACTAGACCAATTACAACTCACTCCTCATATCAGGCCTTGTGCCATATTTAAGCTACACTTAGTAAATTGCTACAATTTTTTCTGACTAGGATGTGATGTAATGGTTAGCAAGCTTGTCTCGCTAGATCAATTACGAGTGAATAGTGAGTTTGATCCTGAGTGCTCCATACTTTCTGCCTTGTGCCGATTCTAAGTTAGGCTTAGTAAATTGCTACAATTTTTTCTGACTAGGACATTGTAATATGGTGTAATGTTTAGTAAACTCGTTTTGCTAGATCAATTCCGAGTGAATAGTGAGTTTGATCCTCACTGAGTGCTCTATACATCTGGCCTTGTGCCACATCTAAGCTACACTTACTAAATTGCTATTGAAGATAAGATTTAATATCATTCTTAGGAGATTTCTATATTTTAATGGAACTTCTGACAGACGGCCATTCTTGTAAAGAATTGGAAAATACTTTTAAAATGAATAAACGAATAATTTGTTTTTTTAATTGCATTTACAATATGAGTTATTTAAAAACAAGTGATCAAATCAAAATAAAGACCGAAGCGTAGGAAGTTAAATGAAGTCGGCTAGGTTTATTGGGTGCCATAAATTTAAAATTCAAAGTTAAGTGCTCCTGCATGAACAACTTTGAAAATATTTAGTAGACAGTCTTTCATGTTAGGTGTGTTAAATTATCTTGGGGATATTATCCAGGCAACAGAAAGTCAGTTCACCCCAGAATTACTCTGACAAGAATTCACCAAGCAACTGAGAGTCTTCATTTATGAAAAGATAAACAACTAGCTGAAATCTAACTATTTGGCCATCTTAATCCAACAAAGTATTAGTTTTTTTTAACCAAGAGAATGTAAGTTCAATCCCTATACTGGGTAACAAATATTGTCCCTAGAACAGAACTTAACAAATAGGATACAGAATCTGAACAAAAATGGATAAATTATTTACACTATTTACATTGTTTGGACTGTTGTCCTCATATTTGTTGCCATATTCACAATGTTTCAACTGTTGTATGCGCCGGACTTTGTCAGGTGATTGGAATTTTGAACTGAACCCTGAAACTGAAACATTGTGAATATGACAACAAAGATAAGGACAACAGTCCAAAGTAAATAGTGTAAATAATTACAAGACCTCATTTTGCAAATATAGACAGATGTTAAAAGTGGACAAACGAGACAAAATGGAAAAGTCTTTTACTGATAACGTGCTACAATTAAAATTTTTTCATTTTACATGTTTATTTTGTTTTTATAACATCCCATTTTCTGAAATATCAATTCTTAAAAAAAAAATAAAAATAAAAAGATGGTAAGATACCTTACAGCATTTTGTTGTAATCTCATGAACTGAAACTTTTATTTAAGAGTTGATTATAGCGTTTCTTATTAAATCTATCCAATTCTTTGGAATTGAACGATAGTGAAATAAGCTGAAACACAGGTCAAGAACTGAATTCTGTGACATTGCAATTAAACGATGAATGCACTTTAACAAGTAGATTTGACTTCCTTGAGATCTGTATTAAATTTGGCTAGTTAATTTTAGGTTATATCTATATGTGACATTATGTATTGGCCACATAACCTTTTCTCCCCATTAATGAGATATTCCATTGTTATGGTAACAGAAGTCATTTGATACCAATAGCTGAAAATACCTTGTATTACCATAACAACAGAATATCTCATTAGTAAACAGTGAGACCAAGTTGCTAATATATTGAATTTTATTGCTTTTGTTTCATGCTGGCTTTGGATGTTTTGACTTTTAATGATTTAAAAGCAGAATTTTTTTCTTATATATAATAATAGTGTTAATTTTACAGACAAAATTCCTAGATTATTCTTTCAGAAATATCACCAATATCAATTGGAAAATTAATTAAATATGGCCACCATTTTTTTTATGTTATAAGTTGTTAACTGTCTTTGACTTTTAATGATTTAAAAAGCAGAATCCTTTCTTACCTACAACAATAGAGTTAATTACATAAATATATGATATTATATGATATATATTAATTATATATATAGAAATCTGAGATTATTCATTCAGAAAATATAACCAATACAATTACAAAATTGCTGGTTATTTTTTCCTTTGATTTTTTCCAGTTGAGGTGCTGCCATCAATAGTGGAAAGAGCAATAACAGTTACTGGACTTGAGAAACCTATTTTGTAAAAGATTTTATAAATTTTAATTGACAGTGACAGGGTCTGCTCAGTCAATGAATGCTGAATGTTTCCTTATAAGAAATTGGCTAATATTACCATTACCCCAAAAGACACATCGCCCAGTGGATAAAAGTTTTGTTTGGATGAAGTTATCTGTCAGTTTTGTATTTAATAGTTGGGTGCTGCTAAACATTTTTAGGAAGTGTTATCAGAGAAAAATAATATCACAAACAAAAATTAACTTGGAAGAATTAATGAGATTTCCTCTAGTATGGACAGTGGAATGAGTTCAATCTGTGTTGGGTAGTGTAAAAATGTCTTATTCTCTGGTTAAATGGAAGAGACAAGTGATATCACAAGGACAAATTAACTGGAAAGAATGAACTGGTATGAGATTTACTCTAGTATGGAGAGTGGAATGAGTTCAATCCCTGGGTTGGGTAGAGTAAAAATGTCTAATTCTCTGGTTTGATGGTAGAGACAAGTGACATCACAAGGACAAATTAAATTGGAAGAATTATGGAATAAGAACAATTTACTGACATGTACTGAACAGAGAGTTCAGAAATTCCCAGGTTACCAACTATGATAGACTCCTGAAGAAGGCTGGAAAGTATATTGGTTGAAACATTCTGACTAAGGTGGAGAAATGAATCGAAGTAAACCAATGCATGATAATGGTAATTCATCATCTAAAAAAAATTAAAACCAAATTTGCTGCAATTATAAAAAAATTGGATTGAATGGCAATAAGTTTTCTGAAGAATATCCCCCCACCCCATTATAATACCTCATGGTTTGCTTAAGTGTTTACAGAAAGTAACAAAAAAGGTGTGTGTGTGTGTGTGTGTGTGTGTGTCTCCTCTTCTGCGAAAGATTTGTGTTGTCCAATCTTTAGTTGCCTTCCTTGTATCTGTCTCCAGTCACCATTTGTCCTGTTAGGATTCTTTTTTGTTTTTTTGTTTTTTTTTCCCATTTTTAATTAGGTCTTGGTCTGTAAATCAGTTTGCCACGTCCAAGTCTGCGTCTCAGTTCTTGCCAAAGAAGTTGTTTCTCCTTCTTAACTTTGGTCAAAATTCCTTTGTTTTCCATGGCTCGTCTTGACAAATAAGGAATTACATCCTCCACAGGTCCGTAGGGGACATATTTGTAGACTGAGTAGCCAGCTTGACCTGAAAATATAGAAATAATATTTCAAGAAAAGCATTGACTTAGAATAAGTAAAATATTTGAAATAGGCCAAATACTTGGAATAGGTCAAGTACTTTTTTTTTTTTTAAAGCATTTCACCCCAAGCAAGGCGGGATGCCACTAGCACGCAAGGGATTACAGAAAGTGGGAGCAAGAGTAAAGAGACGTGATTGGGGAAAGGATGAAGAGAAGGAGAGGAAATAATAGATCAAGGCATCTGGAGATGTCGATTGACATTATATTTGAATAGTTGGAGATTATAGCTATCAGGGAAACGAGTAATAGGAAGGGAATTCCACAGACAGGAGGTGTGAGACATGAAGCTATTGGAGTAGAAGAGACGGCTACATTTAACTGTTTCAACAGTGAAAGGCTGGGATCGAGATGCCAGCCTAGTAGCATGTTTAAATTCATGCAATTTGGGAACTAGCAAAAGTAGCTCATCGAAGCAGTTACCATGAAAGTATTTGTAGAAAAGACAGATGGAGGCGACAACACATCTGTGAGAGTGCAACTATAGGCGAGATACCAGATCAACATCAGTCACATTGCATATCCGTCTCTGGATTTTGTCGAGGACCATAAGACGAACAGCGGGGGCACCAGACCATATATGGCAGCAGTATTCCATGCAAAGGAGAATGATTGATTTATAGATTTGAAGGATGGACTCGAGTGAGAAAAACGTTCTGGCACAACACAGGGAACCAACTTTCCTTGCGGTGGATGAAGCAATTGATTCAATGTAATTGTTCCATTTCAGGTCAGCGGACAGTGTAAAACAAAATAACATTCAGTCTGGATACATTCTGACTTTGTGGGTATCATAAAAGGGTAGAAAAGGATTAGGATAAGATATGGTGGTAATTAAAGGGTTTAGGCTATAAAAGGAGCCCGGGACAAAAATGATGTGTCCCTATTATACTCTGCAGAAATTAGAGAAAATATTGACAAATCCTTGCATGAAATGTGGAAATTCATTATTTAACAGAAAAAAAAAAAAAAAAAAAAAAATAACAACAAAAATGTGGAGAAAGGAAGAGGAAACATATTTCAAAAAAGAAAGATCGTTCCCACGAAATCTTGTTTCGAATGGATGTAAGGGATAAATTTTAATGGCCACCCTAAGTTAATTCTAAAATTTGACTCACTCTCTTGGGTACAAGCAGTTGCAAAGAGGTGCTCTCGTGGAGTTGAGCATCAGACATTCTAATGGGAGGCAGAGATGGTGAGTAATAGAGAGTAGTTTTGTTTAAGGAAGATTCTTTAGTTTGTAAGGGAACTTTAATTAAAGCATTTTTAATTATATTTTGTATCCATTGCTAAGTCCGCTGTTAAGAATGTTGGTTCACAATGTCTATAATTTTTGTCTTCAGAATCTATCTTACATATCTATAAGTCTACCATTCGTCCATGTTTAGAATATTGCTGCCACATATGGTCCAGTGCTCCTACTATATATTTAGATTTTCTTGATAAACTCCAAAGAATCAGCAATATTATTAGTCCCTACTTGGCATCTCGGCTTCAGTCACTTTCCCACCACTGTAAAATTGCTTCCATGTGTCTTTTCTATAAATACTTCTATGGTAATTGTTCGGATGAGCTCTTCACTATGTATGCTCATTGGCCCCCTTTTATTTCTGTCCCTATTTTTTTTTTCTTTAAGTTTTATTTCCCCATCCCCTCCCTCGTTAGGTGGTCAGTGATGTCAGTTCGCTGGTGGATCTGGGGCGCCTTCGTTTAAAGTGAGTGGTTTTTATTTTGTTGTCGTGTCTGAATGAGTGCATGTCAGTGTGAGTGTGTGGGAGGTATGAATGGTTTTTACTATTATAGTCCCGCATTGATTTTGGCCAGTGAAGTGATGTTTCTGTCACATGTAGTGATTGTGGGGGGCTTTTATTACTAATCTTATTTTCTTTAGTTTCTTGTAAATAGTTTTTTCTATTCATATTGTAAATACTCATTGGGGTTAACTTTTAGAATTGTTGTTTTATTCCCCTCTCCCCCCCACAGACATCGAATTGTAAATATGGGGACTAGTTAGTACTTTCATCGAGTCAAAGAGGTATTATGGTGGTTGTAGTAAGAAAGGTACGTATGAATGTGTTGTTTTGGTGTAAGGAATATTGTTTCGTACGATTGGGTCAGTGCTTGTGGCTAGCTAAGTTATAGTTAAGACAGAAGACCGTCCTTTCCCCAATCCCCTTTTCAGCCTTGTGCCACATTTCTGTAGATAACAGAATAAATATTGCTCTTCACTATGGTACTTAGATTTTATGAATTTAAGCGCAGTACTACATTGGCAACAAGGTCTCATCAATTTACAGTTGAATTGACAAGATGCAATCGTAAGTTATATGTTAATAGTTTCTCTTCTCACTTGCGGAATTCTCTTCTGCCCCCCACCATGCTTTCAGGCCAACTTTGATTTTTTAAAATTTAAATTCAATGTCAGTCGTTATCTACTGTCTTCATGATTACTCTTTTGTTCTTGCTCTTTAATAACGTTTCTCTTTTCTAATTCTTTTACGTTCAGTAACCCCTTGTGTCTTAGTGGCTTTACTGCCTTGTTTGGGGTAAATCTGATTAAAAAAATATTTAAAATGTATTTTAAAATTTTGAACTGAATTTTTAAAATACTTTTAAAAATGTTTTTAGTCATTTCATCCCAACCAAGGCAATAAAAGACACTAAGATGCAAGGGGTTACCAAGAATGAAAGAAACAGAGAGTGCACAATAAAAGAATTGGTTTTTAATCAATCACCCTGAACAAGGAGATAAAAGCCACTAGGATGCAAGGGGTTACTGAGAATGAAAGAAACAGAGGGAGGACAATAAAAGAACAGGTTTTTAATCAATCACCCTGAACAAGGAGATAAAAAAGCCACTAGGATGCAAGGGTTACTGAGAATGAAAGAAACAGAGGGAGGACAATAAAAGATCAGGTTTTAATCAATCACCCTGAACAAGGAGATAAAAAAGCCACTAGGATGCAAGGGGTTACTGAGAATGAAAGAAACAGAGAGAGGACAATAAAAGAACAGGTTTTTTTATCAATCACCCTGAACAAGGAGATAAAAAGCCACTAGGATGCAAGGGGTTACTGAGAATGAAAGAAACAGAGAGGACAATAAAAGAACAGGTTTTTAATCAATCACCCTGAACAAGGAGATAAAAGCCACTAGGATGCAAGGGGTTACTGAGAATGAAAAAAGAAACAGAGGAGGACAATAAAAGAACAGGTTTTTAATCAATCACCCTGAACAAGGAGATAAAAGCCACTAGGATGCAAGGGGTTATTGAGAATGAAAGAAACAGAGAGAGGACAATAAAAGAACAGATTTTAATCAATCACCCTGAACATGGAGATAAAAGCCACTAGGATGCAAGGGGTTACTGAGAATTAAAAAAACATTGGGAGGACAATAAAAGAACAGATTTTTAATCAATCACCCTGAACAAGGAGATAAAAGCCACTAGGATGCAAGGGGTTATTGAGAATGAAAGAAACAGAGAGAGGACAATAAAAGAACAGGTTTTTAATCAATCACCCTGAACAAGGAGATAAAAAGCCACTAGGATGCAAGGGGTTACTGAGAATGAAAGAAACAGAGGAGGACAATAAAAGAACAGATTTTAATCAATCACCCTGAACAAGGAGATAAAAGCCACTAGGATGCAAGGGGTTACTGAGAATGAAAGAAACAGAGGAGGACAATAAAAGAACAGGTTTTTAATCAATCACCCTGAACAAGGAGATAAAAGCCACTAGGATGCAAGGGGTTACTGAGAATGAAAGAAACAGAGAGAGGACAATAAAAGAACAGATTTTTAATCAATCACCCTGAACAAGGAGATAAAAGCCACTAGGATGCAAGGGGTTACTGAGAATGAAAGAAACAGAGAGAGGACAATAAAAGAACAGGTTTTAATCAATCACCCTGAACAAGGAGATAAAAGCCACTAGGATGCAAGGGGTTACTGGAATAGAAAGAAACATTGGGAGGACAATAAAAGAACAGGTTTTTCATCAATCACCCTGAACAAGGAGATAACAGCCACTAGGATGCAAGGGGTTATTGAGAATGAAAGAAACAGAGAGAGGACAATAAAAGAACAGATTTTTAATCAATCACCCTGAACAAGGAGATAAAAGCCACTAGGATGCAAGGGGTTACTGAGAATGAAAGAAACATTGGGAGGACAATAAAAGAACAGGTTTTTAATCAATCACCCTGAACAAGGAGATAAAAGCCACTAGGATGCAAGGGGTTACTGAGAATGAAAGAAACATTGGGAGGACAATAAAAGAACAGGTTTTTAATCAATCACCCTGAACAAGGAGATAAAAGCCACTAGGATGCAAGGGGTTACTGAGAATGAAAGAAACAGAGGGAGGACAATAAAAGAACAGGTTTTTAATCAATCACCCTGAACAAGGAGATAAAAGCCACTAGGATGCAAGGGGTTACTGAGAATGAAAGAAACAGAGAGAGGACAATAAAAGAACAGGTTTTTAATCAATCACCCTGAACAAGGAGATAAAAGCCACTAGGATGCAAGGGGTTACTGAGAATGAAAGAAACAGAGAGAGACAATAAAAGAACAGGTTTTAATCAATCACCCTGAACAAGGAGATAAAAGCCACTAGGATGCAAGGGGTTACTGAGAATGAAAAAACAGAGGAGGACAATAAAAGAACAGATTTTAATCAATCACCCTGAACAAGGAGATAAAAGCCACTAGGATGCAAGGGGTTACTGAGAATGAAAGAAACAGAGAGAGGACAATAAAAGAACAGATTTTTAATCAATCACCCAACAAGGATAAAAGCCACTTTTAATGCAATCACAATAAAGAACAGGTTTTTCATCAATCACCCTGAACAAGGAGATAAAAGCCACTAGGATGCAAGGGGTTATTGAGAATGAAAAAGAAACAGAGAGAGGACAATAAAAGAACAGATTTTAATCAATC